AATGTATTAAATTTACAATACCTAATGTAAAACATTCGAAAACCAATGTGCTCTTAAATGGGGAGGAGTTGAGTCTTGTGGATACCACTGTTTTTCTCGGTATTACTATTGACGCGAAACTTCAATGGGGCCCCCATATATCTAAATTAGCAAGCAGACTTAGTTCTGCAGCATATGCTGTAAGAAAGATTAGAAGTCTCACAGATGTTGAGACAGCTAGGTTAGTGTATTTTAGTTACTTTCATAGCGTAATGTCTTATGGAATTTTGCTATGGGGTAATGCGACTGATATTGAAGCTATATTTGTTTTGCAAAAGAGAGCCGTACGGGCGATTTATAATCTAAATTGTAAAGAGTCCCTTAGAGAAAAATTTAAAGAAATAAACATATTAACTTTGGCATCGCAATATATTTATGAAAATGTAATGTATGTACATAAAAACATAAATAGCTTTAATAAGAATAAGGATGTTCATACCTTAAACACTAGGAACAAATATAAGCTTGTAATTCCACTTACAAGACTCCACAGAATTAGTAATTCATTTATGGGGCAATGTATACGCTTTTACAACAGAATCCCAGAACATGTTCAAAGTTTGTCAATAAACAAGTTTAAAAGTTTTATTAAAGAAAAACTGTACAAAAAGGGTTATTATAATATCAAGGAATACATGAATGAAAATAACCCCTGGGAATAAGGTGATCGCCACCATGCTGGTTCTATGAAAATTCATTTAAAATTGTATAAACAAAATTATTGTTAAGTGAAATTATGTTTAAAAAAAAAGTCCCGCTGGGTTTCTTGCTGGTTCTTCCCAGGACAGAGGTATTTTCCGAACCAGTGGTAAATAAAATAATGACTTTCAATAAGTATTATGTAATAATCCATATTGAATAAAAATCATTCTATTCTATTCTATTCTATTCTATTAGTGTCACCAGTGAAAAAAAAAATACAAAAAGATAATTGGAATTTTTCACAAACAGTTTTTAAGATTGTCCAAAATGGCAAAAGCCGACGAAAACAGTGTCTATGAACAATTAAAAAATTACAACTTGGTTTAAAAATACAAATAGAAAAATCACATAGTAACTTTAAGAAGACATCTAAAGATCGTTTATCATGGAACTACATAGATATGAAGATGTCATTACTGGATCAATTGTGGGAAAAATTTCAGAATAATCATATGAAGTTAATGGAATACACAAAGAGTGAAGAGTCAGAAGATGAAACCATTTTCAACATATATTATGAAGTAGAAGATGAGTATGTGTTTACAAAGGACACAATGTTAGAAAAATTGTGGGAATATCCACGACCAACTAACTCAAGATATAGTGCTGAAAACAAATATTTTGAAATTTCGTCACAGCAAATTAAACTTCCTCCAATACAACTACCACCCTTTGATGGAAGATACAGTGAATGGATTCCATTTTACGATCAATTTGTTACACATAACAACAAAAGTCTTAGTAAAGTAAACAAACTACTGAAACAAAACTTAAATGGAGAAGCTGCAATTCTACTTAAGCACATACCTGTAACTGAAGGCAACTATGACTCTGCCTGGATAAAATTGAAGGACAGATATAGCAAAAAAAGAGTTATAATAAATTCATATCTACAAAGGCTGATGACACTTAAGACTATAACAAGTGAAGATACGATTCCTACCAAGAATTTGTTAGACACCATAACGGAATGTTTGAGTGGATTAAAGGGCATAGGAGTGGGTACAAATTCTTGGGATCCCGTAATTATTTACCTACTGACAAGCAAGTTAGATAGTGAATCGTTGAAGAGTTGGGAACAAGAAATTAGCAAACATGATAACGAGTCGTTGCCAATATTTGAAGAACTTAAAAAATACTTAGAGTCGAGATTCAGGACACTTGAAAGGATACAATCAACAAAATTAAGCTCACGCACACTAACGAAACCTACAATTACGAATGCAGATAAGAGAGTATTTTACAATGCGCCTAAAGAGAGTTGTGTACTTTGTAACGAAGAGCACTACATTTTTAAATGTCAAGGTTTTATACAGATGCTCATCCAAGACAAGAAAACTTTCATTGAGAGAAACAACCATTGTTTCAATTGTTTAACACCTAACCATGGAGGACAGAGTGCAGAGTTGGCACGTGGAATGTTAGAGGAGGCATGAGAGATAAGACGAATGAGTTGATCGAAATAATGAAAGAAAGAGAATTAGATGTCGTGTATATGTCGGAGACCAAACGGAAGGGCAGTGGTACTGAAGATCTCCCTGGCGGGGCGTTAGCTCTATGGTCCGGAGTCCCGGAAAGCGAGAGCGCCTGCCAGGGAGTGGGGTTGCTGCTGTCTTCTCGGTTGGTCGATGTTATGACTGAATATAAGGTTGTGAACTCAAGACTTCTCCGGGTTCGCTTTAAATTGGGACTGACGAAGTTATTCCTTTTGGCTGTTTATGCGCCGGTAGCTTCGTCGTCCAGGGCTGAGCTGGAGGAGTTTTGGGAGAATGTAAGACAAGTTCTAGATTTGGCTAGGGGAAAAGAAAGAATTGTTGTATGTGGTGATTTGAATGGATGAGTTGGTACCGCTCGACCAGGGTACGAGTCGGTACTTGGAAAGTTTGGCGATAAAAGGGTTAATGATGCTGGCAAGCTTATACTGGCGGTGTGCAAGGAAAAGGGTCTTCTTGTGACAAACACTATGTTTAATCACAAGAAAATCCATATGTATACTAGAGAACGAAAGAATGAGAGAAGTATGAACGATTTGTTCCTGGTGGATGACTGACTGCAAAAACAGGTGATGGATACGCGAGTGTTTAGGGGTGCTGACCTGGGAACGGATCACTATCTAGTGATTACTAGATTTAGGGGTCTGTTCGCGGGTTGGCGCTACCGGACGGCAGTAACAGAACCACAGTCGGTCTGTCGCATCCGAAGCTGGAAGCTTAGGAAGCGGATACTAGGGACAAATATCATGCGAGGGTAGCCGAAATGCTAAGCTTGACACCATCGATGGCAGAAAATAATGTGTAGAAAGAACATGGCAGAACCTTGGGGATGGAATGGTAAGTGTAGCGGAAGAAGTGTGTGGAAAAATAAAAAGAGGCAGTAGTAAAAGAAGAGATGCATGGTGGAATGATGAAGTGAAAGAAGCTGTAAAGAAGAAGAAGAAAGCATGGTTAGACTACTTGGCCTCTAGTAATGATAAGGATATGAGAGAGAAGATGAAAGAAAGATGTAGGCTGCAGAAAGTTCACACGAAAGCATTGATTGAGGAAGTGCGTGAAAGGTGTAGAATGGAAGCGGACGAAAGGTTGTCGCAGAACTTTAAGGAGAACTCCAAACTCTTCTGAAAAGAGGTTGGAAGGACCCGAAGTGGTGCGACGGCCTTAATAATGAACAAAGTGCTTTCGAGAACTAACGACGTCCTCTCAGAAAAATCGGACGTCATGCAGCGATGGAGCGAATTTTTTAGAGAAATGTATGCGGGTGCTATCGGGCGATCAGTTTGACCAGTTTAGCAAGTAAAGTTTACTCGAAGGTTTTGACACGTAGGATGCAAGAGAAATCGGAAAGATTTCTATGGGAGGCACAATGCGGATTTAGACCTGGAAGAGGATGCACGGATCAAATGTTTTCTCTCCGCGTGATCACGGAAAAGCTTCTGGCTTCTAACCAGAGGATTTTCTGTGCTTTTGTGGATCTTGAGAAAGCATTTGATAAGGTTGTAAGGAAGAAAATGTGGGAAATGTTGCCGGGGTATGGTGTGGACGGTCGATTGCTAAAGGCTGTGCAGTCTCTTAACTGTGACTGTAAAGCCTGTGTGTGGGTAGGGCATGACCTGTCACACATGTTTAGCGTCCAAACGGGCGTAAAGCAGGGTTGTGTCATGTCTTCCTGGCTGTTCATACTGTATCTCGACAGCTGTTTACAGAAGCTGAAAGATAGCTATTTGGGTGTGAAATTGGGTGACATAAAAGTAAATTGTCTGCTGTATGCTGATGATGCAGTGCTTATTTCACCATCAGCGGCAGAAATGCAGGCATTAGTCACGTTTATGAAAGAGGAATGTGAAATTAAAGGTCTCCGTTTGAATGCTAATAACACTAAGGTTCTGGTATTTGAAAGGGACGAAGAGAGAACGAAGTGTGAAATATGGGTAAATCAGGAATGCCTAGAACAGGTAAATGAAATTGAATACTTGGGGAGTGCTTTTAGCCGGGATGGAAGATGTGATTTAGATGTGGACAGGCGTGTCGCTGCCGGGAATAAAGTCAATGGTGCCCTGACTGCGTTAGTCAAAAGGCAAGGCGTAGTGAAGAGTGCACGCCTTGCAATACATAACGCAGTGTTGGTACCGACTTTGTTATATGGCAGCGAAACCTGGGTATGCCAGAAGAAGCATAAAAGCAAGTTGAATGCAGTGGAGATGCGATCTCTTCGTAAAATGTGCGGCGTTACCATGGCCGACCGAAAGCGAAACGAAGAGATTCGCAATATGGCAGGTTTGAAAGATGACCTTATCATAAAAATTGATAAGGGCGTGCTTCGGTGGTTTGAGCACATTGAGCGAATGAGTGAATACCGAATGGTGAAGAAAATATATAGCGCGAAAGTTAATATTAAAAGGTGTCGAGGTAGACCGAGACTAACTTTCAAAGACCATGTGAGCAAATTGCTCGAAGAGGATAGGGTCAAGAGTACTCGGATACCTAGACGTGCATGTATGAAGAAGATAATGAATCTGAAAGAAGCGAAAGAGGTTTGTAAGGATCGTGACACTTGGCGATCTGTTCTCTCTGGCTACCCCGTCAGGGATTGTGCGTGAAGATAAGTAAGTAATACCTAACCATGTAGCGAAACAATGTAAACAAAAGGCAAGATGTCGCATTTGTGGAAAACGCCATCAAACACTCATTCATACAGAGTACAACAACACTGAAGCTCCCGAAAATAGTGAATGACAAGATGATTAAACCCAAAACACACAAAACATGAAAGAGAGAGATAACATTGCAATACATTACGCATTGGAGTCTGGAGTCCATCATACAACTAACATATTGTTAGCCACGGCACTTGTCAGAGTGACCGCCGAGAACGGACGTAAACTACAACTACGAGCATTGATCGATCTAGGGTCTGAAGGATCATCCATCACAGAAAAGGCTGCACAAGCTCTTGGTCTCAAGAAACACACAATCAATGGCACAATCAGCGGTTTAGGAAACAGCACTGTGTTGCATGCTAAGCATATGTTAACATTGAATCTACAATCAGAATATGATAAAACATTTAACCTCCCAGTACAAGCATATGTGCTAAAGACCTTGACTCGTCTTCTACCGACAAATCAAGTTGACAAGAAATGGGAACACATACAAGACTTGCAACTAGCCGAACCCCACTACGGCACACCATCTACAATAAATCTTCTTCTAGGAGCTGAAGTCTACAGTAACATTATGTTGGAGGGTGTAAAACTTGGGTCTATAAATACACCATTGGCACAGAAAACAATATGGGTGGATATTATCTCATCATCATCATCATTACAGCCCTTCACAAGTCCACTGCTGAACATAGGCCTCCCCCAAAGAATGCCACAAAGCACGGTCCTGAGCCACCTGCATCCATCGACTTCCTGCATGTTTACCAGGTCGTCACTCCATCTCGTGGGGGGAGGCCCTACACTTCGCCTACCGGTACGAGGCTGCCACTCGAGAACCTTTCTTCCCCATCGTTTGTCGGTTCTTCGAGCTATATGGCCGGCCCACTGCCACTTCAGCTTACTAATCCGTTGGGCTATGTCGGTCACTCTAGTTCTACTGCGGATATCCTCATTCCTAAGTTTATCACGCAGAAAAACTCCGAGCATAGCCCTCTCCATAGCTCGCTGAGCGACCTTGAGCTTTCTCATCCGGCCAGCAGTCCACGTCTCAGTTCCGTAAGTCATCACTGGCAACACGCACTGGTTGTACAATTTCGTTTTAAGGTTTTGAGGTATGTCTGACGAGAAGATTTGTCGTAGCTTCCCGAACGCTGCCCAGCCGAGTTGAATCCGTCGATTGACCTCTCGGTCGAAGTTGGACTTACCTAGTCGGACTATTTGTCCCAGGTAAACATACTCGTCAACAACTTCGAGCTTAGTGCTCCCAACAACTACCGGCATAGGTGTGACATGGACATTAAACATGATCTTTGTTTTGTCCATGTTCACCTTAAGACCTATCCGTTGGGAAACACTATTGAGGTCATTGAGCATAGTGCTTAGGTCCTCCAGCGATTCTGCCATAAGGACTACATCGTCGGCAAATCGAAGGTGAGTGATGTACTCGCCATTGATGTTGATACCGTATCCTTTCCAGTCCAGAAGCTTGAAAACGTCTTCCAATGCAGCGGTGAAGAGTTTCGGGGATATGACGTCACCCTGTCTTACACCTCTCTGCAATTGGATAGGTTTCGTACTCTGGTTCTGTACTCGGATAGCCATCGTAGCCCTACTGTACAAGCACTTCAACACTTCGATATACCGACAGTCAACTTGGCACCGCTGAAGGGACTGCAGCACCACCCAAATTCCGACGGAATCAAAGGCTTTCTCATAGTCCACATACGCCAGACATAGTGGCAAATTGTACTCTTCGGACTTCTGTACAACTTGCCGAAGGGTATGTATGTGGTCTATGGTGCTAAAGCCCTTTCGGAAACCGGCTTGTTCGGGAGGCTGGAAGTCGTCAAGCCTGCGCGCGAGACGATTCGTAATGACTCTCGAAAACAGCACGTAGACGCGGCTCAGAAGGGAAATCGGTCTGTAGTTCTTCAAGAGAGCGTTGTCACCTTTCTTGAAGAACAAGACCACCGCACTTCTGCTCCACGCCTCCGGTGTAATGCCACCATGGAGGACGGAATTAAAGAGCTTCTGAAGTACTTCAAGTACCGGTCTTCCACCCGCTTTCAGAAGCTCCGCTGTAATTCCATCCTCGCCTGGGGCCTTACCGTTTTTAAGGTGCTGGAGAGCCATCCTAATCTCGCTCAGACTGACATCCGGGATATCTTCGGAATAGTGTCGGATGAGACTCGCTCTTGGATCGTTACTCACACTTGCGTGTGGCTCCAACGATGATGTGTACAGCTGCCCATAGAACCTCTAAATCTCACTCAAAATCTCAGGTGTCCCGGAAACGATGCTGCCACATTCTGTCTTCAGCTTTGACAGTTGGCTCTTTCTGGCAGACAGATCTCTGGCAAAGACTTTGGAGCCTTGGTTCCGCTCGATCGCTTCTTCAATACGAGCTGTATTGAAGTTGCGTAAGTCCCGCCACATGCATTTGTAGATCTGTCAGTTCAGATGCCTGTATGCTGTCAAGTCTGTTGAAGAATGTAGCTTCATCTCCCGTCTAACAGCCATGAGATTAAGAGTGTGATCGGAGAGTTTTTGTGTTCTTCTGCGGCGGGTCTTGCAGAACTTAGCTCCGACCGCATGGACAGTTTCCACGAGCTTGTCATTCATATCGTCCACTTCATTGCAGTCTTCCAGGCACTAAAAACGGTTTTGTAACTCGAGCTGAAAAGTTTCGGGACTTTGGAACAGAGCACGAGGGGGACGGAGCGTTGACTTCATTAGACGAGACCTCTCCAACTTAACGTTTAGGTTCAGTGTGCCTCTAACCATTCGGTGATCGCTACCAGTTTTCAATCTCGCGATCACGGAGACATCACTGAACAGTTGTCGTCTGGTCGTCATAATGAAGTCAATCTCATTTTTTGTGGAACCGTCGGGGCTCGACCAGATCCACTTCCTGTGGGGCCGCTTCTGGAAGAAAGAGTTCATCATAAAGAGTCCCTCTTTCTCCATGAAGTCGGCCAGCTGCTGGCCCCTTGGGTTCCGTTGCCCTATTTCAAATTTCCCTACTTTCAGCTCACCGTTCTCTCTTGTGCCTAGTTTTGCATTGAAGTCTCCCATTAACACCGTATATTGGGTTTTGGAGGAATGCATGGCTCTAGATATATCCTCATACATTTCCTCCACCTCCTCATCGGGGTGTGCCGAGGTTGGTGCGTAAACCTGTATGACCTTCAGCGAATACCGTTTGGTGATTCTGAGTATAAGGTACGCAACCCTCGTCGACACACTCTCGATCTTTACAACGTTGTTAACGAGAGACTTGTGGACGATAAATCCGACACCTCCTTGGGACAGATGGTCGCCCTCCCGGTGATAGAGCAAGTTGCCGGATTCGAGGATTACCGTGTCCTCCCCCTCTCTTCGGACTTCGGATAATCCTATAATATGCCAGCGCAACTTGTCTATCTCTTCTTCCAGCTCCACGATCTTCTCGTCAGTCCTCAGGGTGCGTGCGTTTTACGTTGCCAGGTCGAGTCGTCTAAGGTGGCAACCGAACCTCCACCGGAGATTCTTAGCACCCCCTGCCCCGCCGTTACCATGGTCGCCACCACCGTAGCCAGGAATAGCGGTGCCGCCGGGGACTGGGGGCCGTTTCTTTGTTACTGTCATTCATAGGGGGGTATTTGCCATAGTTGCCACGCTTGGCGAGCGGGTTGGCAACCGCAGTTTTTTTATTGTAATTTGGCTATTATCAGGAAGATGCTGCTGCCCATCTCCTGCCTGTTTCCCTTTGTCGCCTTTTACGACACCCACGGGAGGATATGGGGTAGTGGATATTCTTGACCGCCACTACACGGCATATTATCTGGAGAGTTCAATTTAACCAATACCAATGAGACAAAATATAATGTAATAAACTTGCACATTTCAACACAGCAAGACGACAACAATATTTTACAAAAATTCTGGGAACTTGAATCTGGAGACACAAATAAAAACAAATTACAGAAGAAGAATAACAATATGAGACATATTTTGAAGAAACATATACAAGAGACAACGAAGGAAGATACATAGTTGAAATCCCATTAAAACAAAAGAACTTTGACTACTGCAACACTAAACAAATAGCAGAAATAAGATTAGAATACTTAGAGAAGAGACTGGACAAAGACAAACAATTAAAGACAGAATATACAAGAGTATTAATGGAGTACATAGAACTTAACCACATGGAAGAAATAACAAATTGTGAGAATGAGAGTACACGAAAAACGTTTTACATGCCATATCACGCTGCGATAAGACCAGAGAAGGCAACATCCAAGATTAGAATAGTGTTTGACGCCTCATGCAAAGGCCCTAATGGTAAATCTCTCAATGACAACATGTTAATTGGTCCTAAATTGCAGCAAGATATGAGACAAATAGTTATGAGATGGCGTAAGTCTGAGGTCGCTTTCACAGCAGATTGTATAAAGATGTATAGACAAATAAAGGTTACCAATTAAAGTGCCAACTATCAAAAAATTCTATAGCGAGTAAACGGCAAATTAAAGGAATTCCGACGTACTAGAGTGACCTTTAGCATAACTAGCGCACCTTATCTTGCTACAAAAACTCTTCAGCAACTGGCTGTTGACGAAGAACATAATTTCCCCATAGCTTCTAAAATTGCAAAAACAGACTTTTATATGGACGATCTACTTTCTGGAGCTGACAACTTAAAGGACGCCTTTGAAATTCATTACCAAATGAAAAATTTAATGAAGGCAGGAGGATTTCAATTGCAAATATGGGCGTGTAACAAAACAGAATTTGAAGAACATGTGGGAAATGATGATTCCAAAACAGGCGAGACATACATACTGAAATCAGAAACTATTATAAAAACTTTAGGGATTCGATGGAATAAGAACACAGATAATTTTCAGTACGATATAAACTTACGACCTTCAAACAAACCTGTTACAAAAAAATTTATTCTTGGTGAAATATTGCGACTGTTGCGACAATGGGATGGCTGGCACCGGTTATTATGGTAGCTAAAATAATTATACAAAAGTTGTAGCTAGCTAGAATCACATGGGACGAAGAGGTTCCAAGCGAGGTAGAGATCGAATGGCTAAACTTCTGCAATAACCTGGAACAAGTAAAAAACATATATGTAAACAGATGGTTAAACACAAACAACAATGATCGAAAGATTGAACTCCATGGATATAGCGACGCATTAGAGAGGGCCTACGCAGCGGTCGTTTACCTACGAGTTGTTAAGGCTGACGGAATAATATCTGTTCGCCTTGTTACAGCGCAAACTCGAGTCGCACCAATCTATGATCAAATCCACCAATTATGTGGAGCCGTACTTCTGACGAAACTACTTCGCAAAACACCTGAGTGTCTCGATGTAGCTATCACTGATATACATGCTTATACCGACTCAACCATAGTGTTAGCTTAATTACAATGTCACCCCTCAAAATGGAAGACATTCATAGCTAATCAAACTTCTGAAATACTTACCATCTTACCTGCGAGATGCTGGAGCCATGTAGAGTCAACACAAAATGCTGCGGACATATCTTCTCGAGGAGCCTCTCCAACTCAACTCCTGCAGTCTAGTTTGTGGTGGATGGGACCTGAAGAACTTCTGAAGGAAAATATTACCTACAACCTATTAAAAGAGAACACTTCGGACCTGGAAAAGAAAAAAAATAATTAATGTTTTCAAAAATACAATAACAGAAATTGAAGACTTTGGATTATTAAGAAGATATTCAAATTTAACTAAACTACTTCGAGTAACATCATACATACTACGATTTTTTACAAGTGAGAAATTAAAGGAAAACATCTTAAAAAAATGAGATTGACTTCATTATGACGACCAGACGACAACTGTTCAGTGATGTCTCAGTGATCGCGAGGGTGAAAACAGGCAGCGATCACCGAATGGTTAGAGGCACACTGAACCTAAACGTTAAGTTGGAGAGGTCTCGTCTAATGAAGTCAACGCTCCGTCCCCCTCGTGCTCTAATCCAAAGTCCCGAAACCTTTCAGCTCGAGTTACAAAACCGTTTTCAGTGCCTAGAAGACTGCAATGAAGTGGACGATTTGAATGACAAGCTCGTGGAAACTGTCCATGCGGTCGGAGCTAAGTTCTGCAAGACCCGCCGCAGAAGAACACAAAAACTCTCCGATCACACTCTTAATCTCATGGCTGTTAGACGGGAGATGAGGCTATATTCTTCAACAGATTTGACAGCATACAGGCAACTGAACAGACAGATCTCAAAATGCATGCGGCGGGACTTACGCAAATTCAATACAGCTCGTATTGAAGAAGCGATCGAGCGGAACCAAGGCTCCAAAGTCTTTGCCAAAGATCTGTCTGCCAGAAAGCGCCAACTGTCAAAGCTGAAGACAGAATGTGGCATCATCGTCTCCGGGGCACCTGAGATTTTGAGTGAGATTGAGAGGTTCTATGGGCAGCTGTACACGTCATCGTTGGAGCCACACGCAAGTGTGAGTAACGATCCAAGAGCGAGTCTAATCCGACATTATTCCGATGATATCCCGGACGTCAGTCTGAGCGAGATTAGAATGGCTCTCCAGCACCTTAAAAAGGGCAAGGCCCCAGGCGAGGATGGAATTACAGCGGAGCTTCTGAAAGCGGGTGGAAAACCGGTACTTGAAGTCCTTCAGAAGCTCTTTAATTCCGTCCTCCATGGTGGCATTACACCGGAGGCGTGGAGCAGAAGTGCGGTGGTCTTGTTCTTCAAGAAAGGCGACAACGCTCTCTTGAAGAACTACAGACCGATTTCCCTTCTGAGCCGCGTCTACGTGCTGTTTTCGAGAGTCATTACGAATCGTCTCGCGCGCAGACTTGACGACTTCCAGCCTCCCGAACAAGCCGGTTTCCGAAAAGGCTTTAGCACCATAGACCACATACATACCCTTCGGCAAATTGTACAGAAATCCGAGGAGTACAATTTGCCATTATGTCTGGCGTATGTGGACTATGAGAAAGCCTTTGATTCCGTCGAAATTTGGGCGGTGCTGCAGTCCCTTCAGCGATGCCAAGTTGACTGTCGGTATATCGAAGTGTTGAAGTGCTTGTACACTAGGGCTACGATGGCTATCCGAGTACAGAACCAGAGTACGAAACCTATCCAATTGCAGAGAGGTGTAAGACAGGGTGACGTCATATCCCCGAAACTCTTTACCGCTGCATTGGAAGATGTTTTCAAGCTTCTGGACTGGAAAGGATACGGTATCAACATCAATGGCGAGTACATCACTCACCTTCGATTTGCCGACGATATAGTCCTTATGGCAGAATCGCTGGAGGACCTAAGCACTATGCTCAATGACCTCAATAGTGTTTCCCAACGGATAGGTCTTAAGATGAACATGGACAAAACAAAGATCATGTTTAATGTCCATGTCACACCTATGCCGGTAGTTGTTGGGAACACTAAGCTCGAAGTTGTTGACGAGTATGTTTACCTGGGACAAATAGTCCGATTAGGTAAGTCCAACTTCGACCGAGAGGTCAATCGACGGATTCAACTCGGTTGGGCAGCGTTCGGGAAATTACGGCACATCTTCTCGTCAGGTATACCTCAAAACTTGAAAACGAGACTGTACACCCAGTGCGTGTTGCCAGTGATGACATACGGAACTGAGACGTGGTCCTTCACTGCTGGCCGGATGAGGAAGCTCAAGGTCGCTCAGCGAGCTATGGAGAGGGCTATGCTCGGAGTTTCTCTGCGTGATAAACTCAGAAATGAGGATATCCGCAGTAGAACTAGAGTGACCGACATAGCCCAACGGATTAGTAAGCTGAAATGGCAATGGGCCGGCCATATAGCTCGAAGAACCGACAACCGATGGGGAAGAAAGGTTCTCGAGTGGCAGCCTCGTAACGGCAGGCGAAGTGTAGGGCGTCCCCCCACTAGATGGAGTGACGACCTGGTAAGATATGCAGGAAGTCGATGGATGCAGGTGGCTCAGGACCGTGCTTTGTGGCATTCTTTGGGGGAGGCCTATGTTCAGCAGTGGACTTGTGAAGGGCTGTAATGATGATGATGATGATGATCTTACGGGTATAGAAATAAATAAAGCAAGAGAAATGTGTTTAAAACTATGTCAAAGGGAAGGATTTGGAAATGAAATTAAAAGGATATCTACAAATAGAAATGTTAAAAAGGATAGTAAACTTCGCAGTCTAAATGTTTTTCTAAATGAAAAAGGAATTCTTAGAGTAGGAGGAAGGCTACAAAAATTGACTTACCTGATTGTACTAAACACCAAATAATCTTACCTAGAAATCATGCATTTACCAAATTAATACTTACCGATTACCACTTACGTACCTTACATGGTGGTCCAATGATGCTTTTGAGTAACCTCCGTAGACGATACTGGATAGTTCATGCAAAGTGTCTCGTTCGACAAGTAGTCCATCAGTGCATGAAATGTGCAAGATTCCGAGTCACTGCTAGAAACCAGATGATGGGGTCGTTACCAGATGCTCGCGTAACACCTTGTAAACCTTTTCTGAACAGCGGTGTAGATTTTGCAGGACCAATTGATTTGAGACTCTCGGAAGGTAGAGGTTGAAAAACACAAAAAGGTTACATTGCCATATTCATTTGTATGGTCACCAAGGCCATACATATTGAAATTGTTACATCTTTAAACACCCAAGACTTTATCGCGGCATTCAAGCGCTTCGTCGCCAGGTGAGGACACTGCTTGAATATATGGAGTGATAATGGTACGAATCTGACCGCTGGAAATAAAGAACTAAGAAAGTTATTTGATAAGAGTACTGAAAATTTAGAATCAGAGATTAAGAATATCCTGGCTAATGATGGAACTACATGGCATCATATCGCACCTTCGGCTCCACACTTTAGCGGATTGTGGGAGGCTGGAGTGAAATCAATAATATCTAATAAATCTTGGTAATACTACATTAACCTACGAGGAAATGTCTACAGTGACCTCGCAGATCGAGGCCTGTTTAAACTCGCGACCAATATCTCCCATGAGTGATGATCCGACAG